TAACAAGGACTGTGAGGATGGCGGTGGACCAGGCATTGTATCAGTCTGTTGTACATTATTCCAGGTTATTTTCATATCATCCTGTTAAGGTAATGAGAGAGAAATTGTGTTTTACTAAGTGTACGTTACCCTTTCTGTACATTTTTTATGTTGCAAGCCTGGAAAATTAAGTAAGAATCTGAAAATTTGTAGACTTAAGTTGAATAAGAAAAGGTCTGCTCATTCATGAGCATTTAATCTTCTCTTCTGAAGTAAGAACTATTGACTAGCTGTGCCCTTGATACAAAAATATGCGTAAGGGTAGAAATATGTCCTTCAATTGGAGTTTCATATTTCGGTAGAAGGCTTCCCAGAGGGAATATGGGGTCAGAGCATTAAATGCTAACTGGTACTAGAGGAGAAGGAAAACTCTTAGGTTAGGACAATCTATGCCTCAAAAGTTAGTTGGCCATTTGTTTGACACAACACAGTGCCAGGGCCTGTGTTAGGTACCACAGAATAAAGATAAATAAGACATAGTCACTCCCCTCAAACTGCTTAGACTATCACAGTATAGTAGGAGAAACAGATGCTAATTCAAGTGACACAAATAAATAAATCTAGATTTCAGAGTGTTTTTCAGATACCCTGGAATAAATGGACAGAGGAAGGAAAGGAGATAATATATTCTATTAAATGGGGAATCAGAGCTGTCCTTCAAAAAGGAGGATGATTCTAATGATCCAAGCCACAGGACTGAAGTTTTGAGATGTTTTCTTCCTAGACATGATAAGACTTTGGTAGAACAAAACTTGTGAACAAAGGCTTGCATCAGTAAAATGGCTGCACAGAACTTGGTACTTTAGCCATAAGAGATCAAATCTCAAACTCGTACTTCATCAGTACTTTGTTTCAATTGAATTAACTGATCTAGGTTACCCTAATGTGCATATACAATTGTTGTTGTTGGTATTTGCCATTGAATTTGACCTGACTCATAGTGACCCCTCCTTGGGTTTTTGAGTCAGTATCACAACAAAGTAGACTGCCCAACCTTCCTTCTGAGGAGTGGCTGGTGGGTTTAAATAGCCAGCTTTCTGGTTAGTAGTCAAATGCCTTAGGCACTATGCTACCAGAGCTCCTGCATATACAATTAGGGTCGGCAGAAGTTTTAAGGATTCTTTGTCTTACCTAGAGGTTAAAGTAGAAGAAGAATCACTGAGGAAAAAATACATTTCAAACCAATGCCAAATTCACTGCCATTGAGTTGACTCTGACTCATAGTGACCCTGTTGAGTTTCCAAGGCTATAAATCTTAACAGAAGCAGACTGCCCATCTTTCTTCCATGGAGCTGCTGGTGGGTTTGAACCAAAGACCTCTTGGTTATCAGCCAAATGTCTTAACCACTACACCACCAGAGTGCCTTACCAAATATATAAAAAGAGAAAAACAAATCGACTGCCCTCGAGTCGATTCCAACTCATAGTGACCCCCATTGGGTTTCCAAAGCTGTGAATTTAGGTAAGCAGTAGATTACCTTATCTTCTTCCTGTGGAGCAACTGGTGGGTTTGAACTGCTAACCTTCTGGTTAGCAGCCAAATGTCTTAATTACTATGCCACCAGAGCTCCTTTATATATAGTACTTAGAAATTGTTTTAGCTTAAAAATATGCATATAAAATTGCCTTGAAAATAGCAAAGGAGAAGAGACAGTTAAATGGATGATAAGTACAGAAATGGTTTAGACTCATAGATCAATATTCTGTGGCTGCATTAGCAATGAGATGGGTGTTACTCTTAGTTCATCCAAATAAGAGTGAATGTGAGAGCTGGAAGAAAAGATTACATATTCTGTCATTTTCATCTCTCAAAATAAAACTCCCAACACTTACTCATTACTCTTTTGCTTTTCTGTGTTAACCTACTTATTAATGCCTATTTGAAAAATGTAACAAATACTATAAAGTATATGTGACATTTTGTTAACAAATGAACCGACATGACTGTCCTGATGCTGACTACAGTAACATATTATAAAGCAGTCACCTTTCAACATTAATGATAAAACTCTTAGCAAACTAGGAATAGACAGGAAGTTCCTGAACTAGATATAGAGGATATATATAAAACCTACAGCTAACCAATTCAATGGTGAGATAACACTCTCCTCCTAAGAATAAGGCAAGGATGTCTGCTGTTGCAGCTCTTACTCAACATAGTACTGGAAGTTCTAGCCAGCACAGGAAAAGAAAAAAGGCATATAAACTGGAAAGGAAGAAATAAAACTGTTCCTATTTGCAGATGTCATAACTGACTACATAAAGAAACCCAAAGAATTTACAAAAAACTTCCTAGATTCAATAAATGAGTTCAGCAAGGTTGCAGGGCACAAGATGAACAAACAGTAATCAAGTGCATTTGTATATACTTAAAAATGTGAGAATCAAAGTAAAAAACATAGTTACCTTTACAATCACTCCAAAGAAAATTAAATACTTAGGTATACACTTAACAAAACATGCAAAGAATCTCACTGATGAACATGAGTAGCAAGTGGAAGTGATGGCTGGCATGGGTGGGAATTGGTTTCACTAAGCAAATAAGTAAATACACTGGGAATAATGCTAGAGAAGATATTTACAAAGACAGAAAGGGTTAGAAGGGGTCTTGAAGTGTTGTCTTTCCGTTTTCCTCTACACGGGAAATGGAAATACTGGTATAAACTCATGGTTTTATAATACATATAAACATAAATAGGCATAAAAATGGTCATAGATATGCGTGTGTGTGTGAATGCACACCTATATTACCTAGTCCTGCACACTGAGGAAAGGAACTCTAGTAGCTCAGTGCTGAAGGCATCTGACTGCTAACCAGAAGGATGGCGATTCAAACCCGCCAGCCACTCTGTGGAAGAAAGACCGGGCAATCTATTTCCATAAAGATTTACCATCTCAGAAACCCAATGGGGATCGCTATGACTCGCTGGCAGTAAGTTTAGGTTTTTTTGATACATTGAGAAAACCTTGAAGGAATGCTATCCCAGTAGCAGAGAACACTAAGCACCTGGAATTTGGCTTTTAAATATCATCTTCTACTAAAAGGAAGCAGGGTTTCTCGGAGAAATGTCTGATTCCAGAGTTGTGAAAAGGGAGGAACGAGATGAGCCTGGAATACTTTGCTATGCCAGAGGACATGTCAAAGTCATACAGTAAATAGCTTGAAGGAGTCCACCTGCCCCCCCACTGGGAACAAGATGAGCATCAAATTAGATGAGAGTAATGTATTACAACCCATTGAATAAAATACGAATCCAAGAATCTATATGGATTAAAAATAAATATATACTTTGAAAACATTACGCTGAGTGATGTAAGCCAGACGTAAAAGGGCTAATATCATAAGATCCCAGCTATATTAAATGTATAGGAAAAAAATATGCCTCTATGTAACAGATACATAGAAATGCATAGAAATCCTAGTGGTTGCTGGGGGCTTGGAGTACAAGGGAATAGGACTTATTTTTGAAGGGTTACTGAGTTTCTACTTAGGATAATGAAAACTTTTTGGAAATGGATACTGCTGATGGTAGCATAACGTGGTAAAAGTAATTATGTTACCAAACTGTACACTAAAAATTGTTAAAATGGCAATTTTTTTGTTATATATATTTTTTACCATCATAAAGTTAAAAGAAAAAAAAAAGAATATATAAAGACATAACAGAGAAGCAAAAGATCTTTCTTACAGTAGAAGCCAACTACTCAATGCAGAAAGAAGGATGGAGATAGAGAATTGGTATCGAGCAACCATCACATGGAAGGTTGACTCAGGCTGAAATTGTCCCTGGATTCTAGGCAGGTTAGTAGACAGAAATTTGATGAGGAAAAGGATAGTAAAATAGTATCAGAATATCTCCCCACAAAATACTCATCAAGTTCCAAAGAGGAAAAAGGTGAATCTAAGGTGGAGAAACGTCATGTGGTCATCAACATGACCACGTGGTCATCAACATGACCATGTGGTCAAGGTTAGCATCACAGTGAAGAGACAGATCAGCATCATGAACCTCCTGAGAAGCGCACAGCATCAGTTCTGCAACTCCATGCAGTGGAATTTCTGCAAAGAACACATAACCTAAGTTGGATAATGAGAAAACGTAGGGTCATCCTGGGAGCTCTGGTAGCATAGTGGCTAAGACACTTGCCTGCTAACCAGACGGCTGGCGGTTCAAACCCACCAGCCACTCCTCGGAAGGAAGGTTGGGCAATCCTACTTCTGTAGTGATACTGCTTCGGAAACCCAAGGAGGGGTCGCTATGAGTCGGGTTTGACTTGACGGCACATAACAACAACAACAACAACAGGGTCATCCTACAGAATGGAAGCCTGTTAGTCTTTTAAACTCATAAAAACATGAAAAATAGGCAATGAACTGTTCCAGACTGAAGAAGTCTGAAGACATGTGACACTAATTATAACAGGTATTCATGTACAGGATCTAGGATAAGAAAGGAAAAGGAGACTTTGTTGGGACCATCACTGAAATTTGAACAGGGTCTGTGTATAGGAAGGCAGTGCTGTACTGGTGTGGATTTCCAGCTATGAAGGGTTCTTATGCAGCAGTGTGTCCTTGTTCTTTAGAAAATACACATCAGACAGAGGGAGGAGGGGGCAAGGGGAGAGATGGCGGGAGGGAGAGTGAGAGCGAGAAGCAAGCGAGAGTACCCAAAATGAAATGTTAACAGTTGGTGATAGGAGTCCCTGGGTGATGATGCAAATCGTTTATAAGTTTGGCTGCTAACTGAAAGGTTCATGAGTAGAGTCCACCTACAGATACCTCAGAAGAAAGGCCTGGTGATCTCCTTCTGAAAACCCAGTCAATTGTGCACACTGAGCTGCAGTGCACATTTCTGTTCTGACACACACGGGTGGCCACAAGTTAGAACTGACTCCACAGCAGCTGGTTATTTAATAACAAATCATGAAAGAAATTTCATGAGTATGAAAGAAATACTCACCTATGACTTTAACAAAATATGCATCCGCTTCAAAGTTATTTTTCAGTGTATGGATGGCAAAATCATTCTTTGTATAACCTTTACTTAGTATTACGATGTCTAAGATTCCCTAGAAAAAACAAAAATGAACATGGTAAGAACAATCTACTAAGCAATGTTTTTAAAAAGATTTTTTTTAAAAAAATAATACAACTTTGAATAATAAGATACAAACAAAATGAAGAACATCTCCAATTTTAGTCTCTGAAGATAACTTCTAGCATTTAATGTATTTCCTTCCATATTTGCATAATTTTTTATAGGCCTGTGATACAGACTAGCAAACCATTTCCAACTATCAGGGAAAGATCTTTAATCTGCTGCTTGCCATGACAGCATACTACAGTTTGTTTGTTTTCCTGAAAAAGTACAGAATCCTGTTTCATCGCCCCCTCTGTCCTCAAAAATGATAAATGCTTATTTAAATTGACCTTCCTGAGTGGGAGAACAATGAGGAACAAAACTCAAAATCATAAAAAAAAGGACCAGATATGCCAGTCTGATAGAGCGTGGGGAAACCCTTGAGACTACAGCCCCTGGTTGCCCTTCAGGTCTGGAATTGAACCCACTCCTGTGGCTTCCAGCCAGACAAAAGACAGGCATATGAACTGAACATTTACATTAGGCAGATACACTCCTTGGAGAGATCAATCATGGGAGAATAGAAGGGCTGTGTACGCACAGGGAGAAAGTTCGGGGGTAGGAGTACATGGGAGGGAAGGAAACAGGGAACAGGTGGCTATGGAAGGAAGTGGGAGGAAGGCTGTTGCATTGTGGGAGATTGCAGTCAATGTCATGAGACAACTGTATGTGAAATGCTGTATGGAAAATGAATTTGCTCTGTAAATTTTCACCCAACTCACAATAAAAGTTAAAAAATAAAATAAATTTACTTCCTTT